AGCAAGGGTATAGTGGGTTGAGTTCAAATGGTTTGGTCCAATATTCTGGATAATGTCTAAATTATTATTTCTCCCAGATGAATCATATAAGCAGGTCCATCTAATTTATTTAAACAGCGACAGTTTCTTCAGAATATTGATTAAAAGTGCATGTGATGTTTGTGATCGAAGGAGCCGTGTGTGAGCACGAGGAAGATGCTCGGTCACTCCAGGTTGTTTGGTGAAATTCTTTTCCTTCTAAAAAAACAAACCTGCCGGTGACACGTGAACGGAGACAATCAGGAAGCATCTTCTCTCTCTGCCCTCATGACTGTTGTCTCACAGCCAGAGAATCCAGGTCCACGTGTCGTCTTGAGCTGACAAGGATCTCGGAGCAGACTCACCAGAGCAGCTTGTCTTCTGCTTATATATATATCTCTATATATATTTATTTATATTGTCTACATCATGATGACTGCTTTTAACATCTAACCTCTTGTTTGCTGTTATTTGAATTTAGGCTGATAAAACATATAACAAATACAAACAAAGTAGTAATGGCAGTAGTAGTCGTATGTCATTAAAGTACATGACAGTTGTCAGACTTCTCCCACTAGGGGGAGATACAGTTACACATCAATATGAGCATCCATCATTATTTACAGTTTATCATCTAATATTCAGTTTGAATTACAGCAGGTAAGTTACAGACTGAAGATTAGTGAAGTGCTTTAGAGGTAGTTAGTTATTTTAACATGTGTTCATCTTCCTAAAGATGCTTTTTAACATTTTACTTGTCTGTTTTGGTTTCAAGGTGATGGAGCAAAGAAGATGTCTGTCATCCTGTTGAGTCTCTCTGGCAGTGAGTGGGAAGTCCTCTGCTTCGAATCTAATTGTTGAGCGAGCGTCTAATCAATACTCTGTTAACGAGTCCAGGCACGAGGCTCCGCAGGCTCCGACCATGTCTAGTGAGAGAGGGGTGGTGTTTGCAGCTGGGAGGCAGCTCATGCTGGTGGACACCCCTGAGCTGTCGGATGAAGACGGGGCAGAAAAGAATTAACCTGGTGAAGGACAGCTTGGTTTTGTCGCCCCCAGGACCCCATGTCTTCCTGCTGGTGCTGCAGGTGGGAAGTTTCACCCAGGGCGAGATGTTGGGGCAGCTGCAGAAGATCCTGGGACGGGAGATTTCAGAGCACGTTCTGCTTGTTCGCTTTGATGGCAGCAAGCTCAGGCCTCCACAGGGGATCAACGACTACGTGATCAGAGCTCACTCAGCCCTGAGGGATCTGATCGGAACGTGTGGGAGTCGATATTATGAGCTGAATGTTGCTAAGTCCCAGAATGCTTTGAGCTTTCCTCAGGTCAAAGACCTGCTCTTGGTAATGAACACACATGTTGCATCACATGGAAGACGTTTAATTTGGTGTTTGGAATGAGTTTTCACTGCAGTCACTTTGAATTTATTTATTATAGGAGCCTCATTTCAGAGGAGGATAAACTGTGACCTCCTCTTCTGACCTGTTCTTACCAAAGCTTCAGATTTAAGGTTGATATAAAACTAAACTGAAATACCGTCTGGGTCCTGAAACCAATATATCTTTTATGGGTTTTTACAAACTTCAAATAAAACACCAGAAACTTATAAAACATGGGATATTTATTGTTGTTGAATGATGGACAGACACGAGATCTGATTGTGACAATCTGTATTTTATTGATTTCTTCGTACACAAATTTGTTTAAAAAAAATATACAAATGTGAAATATAGAAAGTGGGATATTATTCCGGCGAATATGTTTGTGTGGCTGGTTGTTGAATGTTTGTCTCTAGAGTCATGCATTCTACTGAAACAAATGTCCGTATAAAACCTGTTAAACAATATAAAAAATGTATCGCAGGTCTCGGCTCTGTTCTGTTTAACTGCTCTGGTCTGTTGCTGCAGTCGGCTGCAGGGACATGGTGTTGTCAATCCATTCAGTGTAGTGGGAGACGATGGTGTAAATTCCAGGCTTTTTAATTTGGCCACACTTCTTTCCCCCATTGGAAGTGATGCCGACCACAACTCCATTGTAGAGCAGCGGACCCCCAGAGTCCCCCTGAAAGACAAGAAAGAGACAACAGGACACTGAAACAACAACGGGGACCCAAAATTGCTTGAACATGGAGAATGTTTCCTCTTTCATTCCCTGAACGTCTGTTCCGTGTCACTCTGGTGAGTGGGTTCGATTCCCCTGTGAGAGGAACGGACTGAGAGTCACAGGGTCAGCTCCAGCAAGTTGAAGAGTGAAGTTGAGTTATTAAAAACCAGAGTTTATCTCCAATATATTCAGCGGGAAAAGAAGAATTCGAAACATGAGCTGGGGCGATTCTCGGTCGGCAGGATCCAGCCAACAGCCGTTGCCTAGCAACACAGCTATGTACCAGAAAGCTCTTCGGTTGATTAAAAAAAGCTAAAAGGATGTTTACGCCGATGTGACGCAATCGGTCTTGAAATGCAGCCTCCGCAGGATAGAACAGAGACACAGCGACAGTTTGGTGTATCATGGGTAATATACTGTTCATTGATGGGCTGTTTTTTTCATTTGCATGAAAACTGCTTCAACAATCGGACAACAGAGACGAACAGAGTTAGTCCCCACGGGTGACTGCAGAGGGCGCTGTTAACTGGTAAAAAAGTTACATAGTGTTGCTTTAAAGTATGTCATATCAAAAAGTTCATATTCTGACAACTGTGAGCAACGTGAACATTTACATTCTGCAGGAAGGAAGAAACTAAAGCTTACATCACAGCTGTCTTCTTTCCTGAACGGCTGATGACAGGGGTCTGGGCAAACCCTGTGCGCACACATCATGTTGGCGGTAAACTTGTTGCCGTAGTAGTCACTGCGTTTGCAGCGAGCCGAGCTGAAAATGTCCACCGCCACCTCTTTGAGCTTGTCGGGTCTGGACCCCAGGTCGTTCACGGAACCCCAGCCAGCTGTGTCCACCTCTGCACCAGTGTAGGGGTTTGTTCCACCCACTCGCAGGAATTCCACCAGTTTAACAGCCTCGGAGATGTTGACTGGACGATCCAGCTGCAGAAAAACGAAGTATAAGATCAACCTTTTCCCTCACTCTCCATGGTGATGACTTTACAGCCGACAGAAAATACACACATACCTTAATCAAAGCAATGTCATTATCGTAATTTGACGGGTTGTAGTCTGGGTGGTTGTAATGCTCCAAAATGTCAAAGGTTTGCTTTGTTTCCTCAGCTTCCTTCAGAGAATGAACACCCAGCACGACTTTCCTCCCGTTCGGACTGTGAAGAGAGCACAGTAATATTAAAACACTAAATAATCCTCAAAGTATCGTTGACTAAACATAAAAAGTCACACACAACAACACAAGTGCATGAATATTTGTCCTGATTCTCACATAACTACAGGTTTCCTCACCCGGTGGGCAGACAGTGAGCTGCCGTCATCACCCACTGATCTGCGACCAAAAACCCTCCACATTCATGTGTCAGGTTCACTCCCTCCGGCATCTGGATGGAGGCCATGTAAGGTCGAGAGTGTGGCGCTGCCTCTCTGCCCCCAATTATCCCCTCACCTGAAATGAGCAAAACGCACAAACAGACGGACCAAAGTTAAAAAACACGTGAACATTTATCGTTGCACAACATGCAGCACACGAGTGTCACGTGTGACGAGGTGCAGTCACACTGAAAATGGTTCTCAGTAGAGTGCTGATCCTACAACGGATTTCTTATTATTTTATAGCAGAAATATAAAAGTAAAAGATAAAAGGTAGTGGTTGACAGTGGAATAAATAATATTCCTGTATTTGCTCTTTAATCTACTCAGACCAAGGCCCAAGCACTTCACCAAATTTGCTGAAAATAGTTTTTTTTGCAAAATCCTGGAAACAAATAAACCAACAGAGAACAGTTAGCAACAACCTCCATGGTGCCAGGTTAAATATATCAATAATACTAATATATATATATATATATATATATATATATATATATATATATATATATATACATCATAACAAATAAAAACAAAATCATAATATAAAGAAAGGAGAGATATACTAAGGCACAAAAACTAGGATTAGGTGAAATCAGGGAATTTGGTATGAAAAACATATGTTTTGAGATTTGATTTAAAGGTACAGTGTGTAGAATTTTGTGATATCTAGTGTTGAAATTGCATGTAGCAAGTATTAAAACATGAAATAATGAGCACAAAGCATGAATGAGTCAGAAAGAATAAAGCAGCGGGGTTATACAATTAGTAAAAAATAAAAAATTTCAACCACAAGTCAAATCTGTATCGATGAAATATTAGATAATAATTTCTCAAACTCACTGTGTGAAATGAGGGAAGCAACAAAAACAGCGGCAGCCACGAACACTTCTCTCCCCGACGCCATGATGTTGGTTTGACTGAAGTGAAAACAGTGTGTGTCTGTTTTTAAAGTTTTCCTGGTGAAAGAGAGGAAACATCCATCAAGCAGATAACGTCCACGGCACCAGTGGGAGCTTGACGCCCTCCTGGTCCCTGTTTCCTGGACCGATAAACAGGAAAACATCAAACATGTTCTCTGACGTCTTTCACTTTCAAAGATTCTTTATTTTATTTAACACACTGCGGTCAAATGCTGTATTTCCCAGGATTCAGTGGGTCAAGCACATCTCCCTCAGTTTGGGGTGAAGTTGTATAAGTGTAATGTTGTTTGTGTACTATTACTGTTCATGATACTTAAATACCACCTGTTATACTTTTATCATTAGTATTTACTGCACCTTTTGTTTATGTAACTTATTTATTTTACTCTCATTTCACACCTGACACTTTTATCTTCAGACATAATGTTGTTTTATTTACTGTGATGTTGAAGCAAGCTGGCACAGGAAAGTCTTATCTCTTATCCTGATGATAGATCATAAATAAAAAAATGATGAACCGAAATAAAACCTCTCATTTCATCATCATGCACTTAACTGGCATTTTAAAGTTATGTAACACAGAGATTTGGACGAACCCGACCTGACCCCATGGACGAGGACATTATCTTCTTCTCTTCTGCTTCTCGTAAATCTGACAGGAAAAACACGAAACGCAGCCAGTGAGCAGAAAGTACATTTGAAATATTTGCAGGAACGATTAGTCGCAGAATATTATCCCAACCTGTCAGATGTACTCAAACGTTCCCACTGCACGTGCACAAACATAAATTATTCATGCACCTATTTCAACACGGATGATTTGATGGTTTAAGGGGCTTTCTTTTCTTCGAAAGGTGTTTTTCAAACTATTTTCCCAGGAAATGACTCGTGAATCTTCAAGGAAATACTCGGGCACATATACGGACATGGTATTTATCAGTGTGTGTGATTGGGCAGCTTCTCTTCTACCTTTTACCTTCTGGCTCCGTGAGTCTCTGACCTCCACCCCTGCATTAAATTCTGCTTCCAGTTCAGCTCTGAGAAATGTTTGTTTAGCTGAAACTCCTGTTGGCGGCTGTTTGGACAGAATAATCCCTCTGGAGAGAAATATCTCCCTCAGTCGAGATGATTGCATCTGAGGTGGAGGAAGTCTGGGCGGAGAGGCGGGGACATTTACCAATGTTGTTTTGTTCCATGCGGCGAACAATTAAGTAATTTACTCTGGAACTCAACTTTGATTTACTTTATTTTCCTGCTGCCACCACGTTGTTGACACTGCACCTGTAGGTTTCAATAGAATACACATGAATAAAGCTGCTGCATTTATTTGCTCCAAAGAAAACACACACGGCAATTTTAAATAAATAAATGATGTGAAGTATTCACACTATGCAGGATATTTTATTAGCACTGGGTTCCTGTGCCAACAACCTCTTCTCCTCCACATTCCCAGTTCATGTATTAATCATAACAATGTGAATAATGATACTGAACTTTATTCATATCGAACCTTTCAAAACACAGTTAAGCTTCATGATTATTCAAGCGACTAGTGATGAGAATTTTTAAATTTGAAGATCACAAAACATTAAGCATTTTTAAAAGGTCAAATAAAAGAAATACAAAATTGACATCAGCAACACGAAACATAACAACATAAATATTCAATATCATAAATAAACATAGATTCATATTTAATTTTCCGCCTGAAAAGAAGTAGGAGGTAGCAACATGCTCGTCCTGTTTTATCGCTATTCTCAATCAACAAACAAAAATTTGAAATATAATTTCACTCGCTGTAGTTTTATGTGCTTTGATTCCTCTTCTTGTTTTTTGTTCTTCTCATATTTAATATCTTTGTTCATCTTATTTAACTGTTTGAATTAATCCCCCCCACAGATTCCAACATTCCTTCCTATGTACATTACAAATCTTAAATTCCATCAGATCCATGAGATGCACAAGAAGCAGAAGGAGGGAAGCTGCGGACGAGTCGGAGCCAGGATGAGCGAACACAGCGGGGGACATGGCCCCCAGCGATGACCTTTAGTGAATACATGGGACAGCAGAAACCTGAGGATGATGAGGATGACGACGAAGAGTCCCACAGTGGAAACAGAAGACACCAGCTCAGGCCTGAGACCTTAACTTTAAACCTGTGCTGCCCTCTGCAGGTACAAACTACAAACAACCGTCACTACAACAGGAGACCAAGATTATTCTGCTCGACACTCACTTCAACGTTTGAGGCGGTTTAATTAAACTGAACGAATTTTAAACAGTGACAAACATGAAGAAATGTCCCAAAGTGTCTATTGATTGACGTGTTTGACAGTTTCAGGTCATTACGCTGATTCTCTGACAAAAATACACCAATTATGATAATTAAAGTCACACAGGTGCTGAGTCAGAGGGGGGGGGGGGTTGACCTGCTCGTGATCATGTGGTCGCGTTAGTGTAAAGTGGGGAAATAAGACAATTAAGTCGTGACTCATATACTCACAATTGCAAGTTAGGAGGAGCACAACAGTGATAAATTATAGGTTAAGACGAGTAACGACATCTGTATCCACCTCCATGATGATGATGATGATGATGATGACGACGATGATGATGATGAATCAATCTTGCTGCAGAAAGATTTGCTGCAAATGTGGATTTCCACAATTCATAGAACAACTTTAAAAGCAAATTCCTCAGCACTTTAGAAATTATGTTATATTATATATATATATATCATTGGTGTTGTTGCCATGGCAATGAATTAAAACTGCAGCTCTAGCCTTGAGCAACCAAGCCCACCCAGCCAGGTATGCAATATGTGTGTCAATTACATGTGTGTGTGTGTGTGTGTCTGTCTGTCTGTGTGTGTGTGTGTGTGTGTGTGTGTGTGTGTGTGTGCTCATCCCTGTGTGTGGTCTGGCACTGAACCAATTATCAGATGAGTTAACTGTCATTTCATTTTCCACTGTATTGTTTTTAAAAATGTTTCATTACTCTCTCTTTCTCTCTCTCTCTCTCTCTCCTTGTCTCTCCTCCCTCGCTCGCTCACTCCACCTCCGCCTCTCATTCTCAGACACTGCGTCAGCGCCTGCATGTGAGTCTGTCTGGCAGAGTTTTCTATCCCATCAATCAATCAATCATTCACTCCGTCTATTTGTCTTTTTATTACTCACTGAAATTACTTTTCTCTCTGCGACTTTGATCGCTCGTTGCCATCGGCCTCTCAGAGATCCCTGGATTCTGTTTTACCTCTTAAACTATTGATGTGTTGATAATATAAATGTTATTTCAAAGAAGACAACCAGGTCCAGAAGAATGCAATTAACATTTCACTCCTTTGAACCTTCTCACACCAAACTTACTGATTGAGTGAAACAATGTTTTGTTGTGCTGTTAAAGTTAAAATCATTTCAAACAGGTTTTGTGTTTTAAAGGATTCAACAATGAAACACCTTAACTTTTTCTTTTTTATAGAGCACTTCTCAAACAAATACACACAAAACATTCACAACATTGAAATGTTACAAGAGATGCAAGTAGAGAAATGTGCACATGAACAAACAGTTTATCCAAAAACAAACACACGGAAACACATAAAGTGAAAACAGCTCATACGAGACGTAAGAATTCTAACTTTAATTTAAAGATGAGATTTAAGAGTCAGCTGATCTAACCAGAAGCCTCTCTCACTTTTATTTATCCATCATTTATTCATGTGGAGTCTGACTCATAAGTGAAAGCTGTTTTGGTTCTTGCTTGTTGGCTTCTCCTCTGACGCTTTGGGAGGTTTTGTTGCCTGATGCTCGTCTGCCTCGTCAGTTTTTGTTAATTTCCTATTTTGCAAGTAAAGTTTGGAACCTGGACTCTGGAACAGTTACCGACTTGACCTGTGGATCCTGTTAACGAGTGAGCAGCTCAGTTATGTGCCCCGGTGTTGGATCATTAAAGTGATTAAAAGAGTTTTAAAATCAAATCTAAACTCTTTTATCTCTTTTTTAAATATACAGAATGAACCTTTAAAGCTCACACACAATACTCTTCAGTGTTTTATGACTCATTCGGGGATCCCGGTGTGTGCCGGTGATTTATGGAAGTTACTGAGCAACTGGAGCGGCAGGCACACAAACTGCAGTGTGGCGCGCTGAGGGCAAAGTGTCAAAGAATGAAACCTCATCGTCTCTGAGGACGTTTGTGACGATATCACTTTGTGTTGCTGTGAGGGGAACATCTGCTGCATATAGAGTAAATTGTGTCCCTGTCTTTTTAATGCAGGGTTAGTGGGTTTTTTTTATCATGTGCTTCCATCTGAGGCCCCCCAGGTTCTTTAAAAGACTCCAGTGTGTGTCAGAGGCGTGAATGTGACCTGTATTGTTTAAAAACTAGAAAGGAAGTGACGTCATCCATTTACCGCCTCCAAGTGAAGAGGACTTTAAATAGGGAACAACACGAGGATGTTTCGAACTCTGCAGAAGCCGTCTGTGTCACGAGAGTGAGTCTTAATGATAACATGTAAAAAATACATCAAAGTTGCCTCAAGCATGACGTTTTTAAAATTCATCAGGGACGAGCTCCCCACCCCCGACTAACTGAGAACCTTAAAGTATTGATGAACTCTCACTGGCCAGAGTGAGATCCTGAGTTTCTCTGCTCATGTCAAGTTGATGAACACGGCTCTGAATCAATTTTAAAAAAGACCATGAGACTCTTAACAATCTGTTTCATCTTTATTATCCGACACCTTTACGTCCGTTATTCACATATTCAAACACGTCCCACAAATCAATCGTGAGTAAACACCTGGAGGAGGAAACGTCCACTGATGTCCCTGATCCTGTAACGTCTCTGTTCTATAAACATGTGGTGTAAAATCACCAACCTTCAAAAACAACTGCAGATGTTTATATATCGATCGACAGTTGTTCCAGTGAAGAAAGTTTGACAGCAGAGAGAGTGAATTCAAATCCCGGGTGGAGAGTTGCAGACTCATGCGTGTCTCTTTGTCTCCTGCAGTCGAGCGGTG